GGGTTTGGGGTTTGGGGGTTGGGGATTTGGGGTTTCGGGGTTTGGGGTTTCGGGTTTCGGGGTTTAGGGTTTGGGGTTGAGGGTTTAGGGTTTGGCGTCAGGGTTTCGGGGTTTAGGATCTAGGGGTTCGGGGTTTAGGGTTTGGGGTTTGGGGTTTCGGAGTTTGGGGTTTAGGGTTTGGGGTTTAGGGTTTCGGCATTTAGGGTTTCGGGATGTAGGGTTTAGGGGTTTCGGGCTCGCGGTGTACATGGCCTCTGTAAAATGCCAAAACCACATGCAACCTTTATTGTTTCCGGCACGTTCCAAGGGCGCCGGCAAAGCGTAACCGAAGGACCTCAGCTCCGCAAAGCGGTTCAGTTCTAAACCCTAAACCCCAACGCATTAATTAACCCTAAACCCTAAACTCTCAGCCCTAACTTTACAACCCCAAAACCCTTTTGCCGTAGAGGGTCCAGGGCTTAGGGACCACCTCAAGCCACAATCACCCTAAACCCTCAACCCTAAACCCTCAACCCTAAACCCTAAACCCTAAACCCACAACCCCTCAACCCTCAACCCTAAACCCTAAACCCTAAACCCACAACCCTAAACCCTAAACCCTCAACCCCAAACCCCAGCAGGTGGCGACAGAGACGACGTTTCTTAGCGCACTGGCCCAAGGGCTCTGCTGGGAGGCCAGTGGTTTCAGAAAATGGGAGCCGAGGTTCGTGGGTTTTAGGGTTTAGGGTTTGGGGTTTTAGGTTTTAGGGTCTAAGGTTTAGGGTTTTAGGGTTTTTAGGTTGGGAGTTTAAGGGTTTGGGTTTTAGGGATTCTTAGGGTTTCAGGGCTCAGGGTTTTAGGGTTTTTAGAGTTTTTAGGGTTTTAGGGTTTTAGGGTTTAGGGTTGCAGGTTTTAGGGTTTTAGGGTTTGGAGTTTAAGGGTTTTTAGGGTTTGGAGTTTAGGGTTTTGGGTTTTAGGGTTTTAGGATTTTAGGGTTTTAGGGTTTTAGGGTTTGGAGTTTAAGGGTTTTAAGGCTGTAGCGTTTGGAGTTTAGGGTTTTGGTTTTTAGGGTTTTAGGGTTGTGGGTTTTAGGGTTTTAGGGTTTGGAGTTTAGGGTAGAGGGTTTAGGGTTTAGGGTTTTGGGTTTGGAGTTTAAGGGCTTTGGGTATAGCTGTTTCCGGTTTTGGGCTTAGGGCTTTGGGTGTCGCATGGTTGCCTCAGCCCTGCAACATAAACCCTCATAGACCAGGGCTTGAGCCTCTAGAAACCCTAAACCCTATCAACCGAAAACCCTAAACCCTAAACCCCAAAAGCCCTAAGCCCTAAAAGCCCTAATCCCTAAAAGCCCTAAACCCTGAAAGCCCTAAACCCTGAACCCTAAACCCCTATACTTTCTGCTTCATGAACTTGCAGCTTCGCTGGACGGGTCATGGAAAAGTGGTTGGATTTGGGGCTACAGGTGTTCTAGTGTGGATTTAGGGTTTAGGGTTTTAGGGTTTAGGGTTTGGGGTCATGGAAAAGTGGCTGGATTTGTGGTTACAAGTGTTCTAGTGTGTGTGGATTTACCTTACAGTTCAGGGTTCGGGGCTTTCTGGGTTTCTTGAAGGGTTCCGCCAGGGACCGAGATTCTATAAGGGGTTCTAAAGCTTCGGGCTTAGGGTTTAGGGTTTCGGGTTTGGGGTTTGAGCTTACTTAAAGGATCATGGGACTTAGTAAGCTAGAGTTACAACTAAGGTAACTATACTTATATTCACTTATAACCCCAATTAAGGGACCTATAACCTGACTTACTAAGTCCCATGATCCTCCAAGTAGGGTTCCGGGAGGCTTCGCCCTAAAACCTCAACCCTAAACCCTAAACCCTAAACCCTAAACCCTAAACCCTAAACCCTAAACCCTAAACCCTACTTGCCGAAACCACAGCCTTTGTCCGAGCGTCGCTTCAAGGCGGCTGTTCGGCACCTGAGCCAGATGCAGCAGGAAGGCCTTCTTGCGTGGTTTAGGGGTTTAGGGTTTAGGGTTTTGGGGTTTTGGGGTTTCTGGGTTTTGGGGTTTTGGGGTTTAGGGGTTTAGGGTTTAGGGTTTAGGGGTTGGGAGATTGAGGATAACATAGTGGCCCTCAAGCATTCATCATAGTCTTCCTTAGCACGCTGTAGAAGTATTTTTGCGGCATGCAAACCCGCAAGACCATTCTATCACATACTAAACCCTAAACCCTAAACCCTAAACCCTAAACCCTAAACCCTAAACCCTAAACCCCTAAACCCCTAAACCCTAAACCCTAAACCCTAAACCCTACATACAGGCTGTTCCAGTTTCGGCCCCGAAGTTTGCGGCGTTTGTTCCTGTGAGCTCTGGACCCGTAAGCTTGGCTCGCAACACGGGGTTTCGGGTTTAGGGTGTAGGGCAAGTTTAGGACTAAACCCTCAACGCTAAACCTGAACCCCAAACCCTAAACCCAACATCCAAAACCCTAAACAAACCTAAACCCTAAACCCTAAATCCTAAACCCAAAGCCCTAAACCCTACACGTTAAACTTTAGGGTTGAGGATTTGGAATGTTGAAGCCTCAGCTTTTGCACAGCAAGAAGCGGTATTTTCCCACGCAGCCTAGGACCCCGAAGCGTGAAGCCTAAACCCCTAAACCCCTTGACCCTAAACCCCTAAAGCCCTAAACCCTGAACCCTAAACCCTAAACACTAAACACTAAACCCCTGAACCGCTAAACCCCAAAACCCCTAAGCCCTAAACCCTAAACCCTAAACCCGAAGCCCTAAACCCCTAAATCCTAAATCCAAAATCCTATAAAGCCTAAGCCCGAAAGCCTAAAGCCTCGTCCCAAGCCTTGCTAGCAAGGCTTCACAACTCGAACCAACAAAGTTCAGGAGGTTTTAGGGTTCAGGGTTCAGGGTTTCGGGTTCAGGGTTCAGGGTTCAGGGTTTAGGGTTTAGGGTTTGGGGTTTACCTTCACCCTGTAAAGCCTAGCCTTTTCAGGGTTCCTTACTATGATTTCCTTATATAAAAGCACAAGATCCGAGATCCGGGGCTTACTTAGAGTAACCAACAAAGGTACATCTACCTGGCGCGAGGTCCGTATCTGCGTCTACGGCTGGATTGGTTAGCCTAGTCCTATTTCCCAAACCTTGAACCAATCCTAAACCCTAAACCCTAAACCCTAAACCCCAATCGAACCCTAAACCCTAAGCCCCAATTAAACCCTAAACCCTGAACCCCAAGCAGACCCTAAACCCCAAACACCAACGAAACCCTAAACCCTAAACTGGGAATCCCGAACCCTACACCTCGAACCCATACTCCGAACTCCCGAAGCGTAAACCTCGAGTGCTGAGTCCGAAATCCCGAACCCTAAACCCAGAAGCCACAAACCCACAGAGTTTAGGGTTTAGGGTTCAGGGTTTAGGGTTTAGGGTTTGGGGTTTAGGGTTCAGGGTTTAGGGTTTAGGGTTCAGGGTTTAGGGTTTAGCCTTGTAGTAGCCCTTAGATCCCGTCCTAGACCTTGAAATGCAGCACACCTTAGACCCCAAACCCTGGCCTCTGGAAGCCCGAAACCCTAAAACTTAAACCCTAAACCCTAGGCCCTGGCCTCTTGAAGCCCTAAACCCTAAACCCTAAACCCTAAACCCTAAACCCTAAACCCTAAACCCTAAACCCTAAACCCTAAACCCTAACAGCAATCCCAAAGCCGTCGCGAAACCATCCAGTGGGACAGTCACGGTGCCAAATAAACCCCCGCAGCTTGGAGAGTGATAGATTAGGGTTTAGGGTTTAGGGTTTAGGGTTTAGGGTTTAGTTTTTAGGGTTTAGGGTTTAGGGTTTAGGGTTTAGGGTTGTGGATCATGACTGCAACTTTGGAGCTCCGATCGATTTGCTGTACGGAGCGAACACCTTTGGGCGCGTAGCCAGGAGTGATGCTACGCAGGCACTTTTGCGTATTGAGCACTTCAACTTTCAGCTCACGCATTTCTCGAAATAGAGCTGTGCTCTAAACCCTAAACCCTAAACCCTAAACCCTAAACCCTAAACCCTAAACCCTAAACCCTAAACCCTAAACCCTAAACCCATCGCTGAGAGCGGCATCTCGTTGGGAAACATCATCAAGATAGGCACACTTCGAGGCCCTTTCGGCCCTTCACTGCCCGTCACTGGCTAAAACCACTAAGCCATCCCCACTAAACGCTAAACCCTAAACCCTAAAACTTAGACACTGAACCCCAAACCCTGGCCTCTTGAAGCCCTACACGCTAAAACTAAACCCTAAACCCTAAAACTTAAGCACTAAACCCTAAACCCTGGCCTCTTGAAGCCCTAAACCCTAAACCCTAAAACACAACCCGAAGCCCTAACCCCTAAACCCGAAAACTAAACCTTAAGCTAAGCCCTGCACCCTGGCCTCTTGAAGCCCGAACTCTGAAGAGCAGGCGACGCGAAGCCCAACGTCATCACGTTTTCTTCAGCCATTCGAGCCTGATCCTCAGATGGCCCGGGGGATTTTAGAGAAGCTGCACGTTCAGGGTTTAGGGTTTAGGGTTCCTTGTAGGGTTCTTAGAATAAGGGTTTGTTAGACATGATGTTTGAAGGACTATTGAACATGTCGTTCTCACTATGGTTCCAAGGGCATTGGACGGGGGGCTTACAGTTGCGGTGGCTACTACAGGGTTTAGGGTTTAGGGGTTTAGGGTTTAGGGTGTACCAACACCCCCCCAACTACACCTTATTGAGGGCCTAAGTATCCACTTATTAAGGACCATGGGGGTGCTGGTATGGTATGGGGTTTTAATTTTAAGGTTTAGGGTTCGGGGTCCCTAAACCCTAAACCTTAACACAGCCTAACCCGTAAACCTAAGCCCTAATCCAGGGTTGAGGGTTCAGATTTTAGGTTCAGGATTTGGAGCTCCGGGCACGGGAGAAGGCTGGGTTTTAGGTTCAGGGTTGGGATGTAGAGTTGAGAGATTTAGGACTTCAGAGTTTGGGGTTTAGGGTTTAGGGTTCAGGGTTTTAGGGGTTTAGGGGTTCAGAGGTTTAGGGTTTAGGGTTCAGGGTTTAGAGTTTAGGGTTTAGGGTATAGGGTTGCGGGGTTTAGGATTGTAGGTGCAATTTCCAGGTTTAGGAATTTAGGTTTTGCAAGGCTACAGCACCTTTGCCCAGGCTACGCTTGACACCATGCTTGGAGAAGCAATAATTTGTAAATTTGGTTGGGCTTTTTCTGCCCGAAGCGAAGCCCTAAAGCCTAAACCCATGAAGCCCTAAAGGCCCTAAATCTTAAGCTGAAGAGTGCATCGTCCCTGCTCCAGAGCAGAGACTCAAGAGGTAGTCGAGGGTTTAGGGCTTAGAGTTCGGGTTTGGGGTTGAGTAATTCCTCAGTAGCTGAGTGGATACACTTTACACTTTTTGGGATAATATTACCTACTATAAAACTGAAAGTGTACACTTTTCTGGGCTTATGAACTCAGCAACTAGGAATTCCTACATACTGAGATCCGGAGCGACGCCATATACTTCTACCGTGGTCTACCACCCAAAGCCTATTCTGTAAACCCTCAACCCTGAACCTTAAACCCCTAAAACCCTAAACCCCTAATCCCTAAACGCCTAACCCCAGACCCCTAAACCCCTAAACCCTAAACCCTCAACCCTAAACCCCTAAACCCTAAACCCTAAACCCTAAACCCTAAACCCCTGAACCCTAAACCCTGGGTTGGGGTTTGGGGTCCTAGAAAGGTCCATGAGAGTTCAGGCATCGCCGAGGCCCCAACATTCCAAGCCACAAAGCCTAAACCCGAGGTTTGCGACTTCATTCTTAAAGTTGTTGCTTAGGGCTTTGAGTTTTTATGCTAGGGTTTAGGAAACCTGCTTTTTAAAAAATGCTTTGTTTTTGTGATGTTTAAGTCTAGTTGCCAGTCCAGGCGGCTGAGATGGGCAGTGCCTGGGAGCATGTGCTCAAGCTTCTGAGCGATATGCCAGGCCCGGGTGCCTTGTTTCGGTTCGGGCTTGGGGTTTAGAGTTTAGGGTTTAGGGTTGTTGGGGTCCAGGGTTTGGGGTTTAGGGTTGTTGGGGTTGTTCCGGGTTCAGTGCATTGCTTGACCTTGCTTTTCCCTGATGTGTCCACCCACGACAGCGGATTTTAAGCCCCTAAACCCTGAACCCTAACACCCTAAACCCTGAAACGTAAACCCT